AAGCTCTACTCGACAGTGGGACCACAAATATTAAACTTTTATGTGACGGGGGAACCCAAAAAAAAATTTAAAAAAATGGGGGCAGAATCGGTGGTGGTGGTGGTGGTGGGGGACCAGAAATGAGAAATGAGGGAGATGGAACGAAGAAGAAGAAGATGGAGGATTTGTATTAAGGGGTATAGCGCCACTATTAATGGTGCTATGTGTTCAGGTAATAAGGCGTATAACGCCACTATTAATAGCGTTATGTAAGGTGTGTCAGTATAACGCCATAAATAGTGGCGCTATATAGTAACGGTGCAGTTAACGTTACTGTATAGCGCCACTATTTATGGCGTTATATATAGTTTGGTAACTTTTTTTTTACACTTATTTACGTGTTTTGAGTAAAAAAAAATCACATTTTGGTTCCGCACTTGTCGTACCAAAAACTCTCACAATCCAGAATTTTCCAAACAAAATATCTCGACCCATGACTCGGACAAAATCAAAAATATCTCCTCACAATTATCAGACACGTGTATTTTTCCTTCCCGAATCTTCTTGAACCTTTATCACACTTCTACCTTAGAAACTCAATAGAAATTTCTGTCATTTGGCCGCAGATTCTTTTTTATTAAAGTTCCATTGGTCCCACTTTATCACCGACTCTTAAAGATACCTTTATAAATATTATCTTTAACACCCTATTCATGTCACAGTTTCTTGATTTGAGATTTACTTGATTATTTTTTTTTTGCATGAAAAATAGTACTGTGTACCTGTATTGTTGTTATTTGGTGGAATTTGGTGAGGAAAATGGAGTTTTGTAAAGAAAGGTGGCCATCATATTATAGTGTTCTTGGTGTTAATGCAAACTGTTCTGATGAAGAAATTAAACGTGCTTATAGAAAGTTAGCTATGGTATGATAATAATTAAAAAGTTCATCTTTTTGTTAATTCTTAATTATGAGAGTAGTTTTGTTGTGTGTTTAGATTTAATTACTAATGGAAAATGGATTTTTTTTCATTTGGTTGCAGCAATGGCATCCTGATAAATGGACGAGGACACCTTCATTATTAGGTGAAGCTAAGAGGAAGTTTCAGCAAATCCAAGAAGCCTATTCAGGTAAAGTTTATATCTTTAATTTCAATGGATTTAAGTTATATACACTGTATTTTATAGTATCAGTGTAATTTGCCGGTTAATTACCATTGTTATCAGGTTATTAAATTTGTAATCTTTATCATAAAGATTTAACTGTCATTTACTTATAAATGACTTGATTTGATTGTATAAATATTTTTTATATCGTCAATCCATTTCTCGGAATGGAAATGGGTATGTCTTTTTAAAAAAATAAAATAATAATTTATTGCCAATTCTAATTTTTTTATTTTATTTTTTTATTTGGGAATAGTGTTGTCGGATCAGAAGAAGAGAATGATGTATGATGCAGGATTGTATGACCCTGAGGAAGATGAAGATGAGGTTTGCTATATTTTGTTCTGTTTCTTGATTTTAGATTATGCAGAAAAAAGAGAAGCTCATCTGATATATTTCTTTTTTTTTTTGGTAGGGATTCGCTGATTTTCTACATGAAATGGTATCTTTAATGGATAATGCAAGGAAAGAGGTATTGTCTTCATCTGATTTAATTTCTTGCTTATGATTTTATTGTGATAGTTTCTCCGTTCAATTGGTAACTTAAAGCTGTATTTGAATGTATCAATTGAAAATATTACTCAAGATAATAAACTTGCTCTAGCTCATTGATGCATATGTAGTTAAGAACTTTGAGATATTATGAACTTTGTTTGTCTTGGATGATGATCATATAGGTCACGAAGGGGAGTCTTAAAGCAACGGTAAAGTTGTCTTCGTATGACATGTAGGTAACGAATCAGATTCGAGTCCTGAAAGCAGACACTAATGCTTGCATTAGGTTAGACTGTCTACATTCATCACTTGGCGTGGTGCGGCTCTTCCTAGACCGTTCGTTGCAGGATTGGATGATGATCATAGTTAAAATGAGTAGCTGTGTTGTTATATCTGATGTTGCTTGTGCTTAATTAAAATGAATTGCATTACTAGCCTATTTGGCAAAACTTCTAAAATCAGATTATTTTGAGAAGTGCTTTTGTCAAAAGTACTTCTCAAAACAGTATTTTTTGTGAGAATCAATTTGTGTTTGGCTAATTGATTTGAAAAGCACTTTTGAGCAGTAATTAGTATTTGGTCAAGCTTTTGAAAACTGCTTCTAAGTATACGTTTTTGGAGGGAAGCTACTTTTTTTTACTTCTCAAAAATTGCTTCTGCTTCTTAAAAGCACTTTTTTCTATCTAAAAGCTTGGCCAAACACCTCAAATTTTGGCCAAAAGAAAGCACTTTTAGACCCAAAAAAGCTTGGCCATGTCACTTAAAAGACAACTACAAGTAATTTTCCATATATATAACAGTTAGTAACCTGAAAGGTAAAGCGTGCGACGTGCTATAACATTGTATAACAGGTTAAACAACATTGACAGTGTGAGAAGTTTTCATACTATATATTTATTTCAACTAATTATTCTTTTAAACCGGCTTCCACTTTGTTCTCTTTGGTAAATGATGTTTCTTTTTCATTGCAAATTCTTGAAAACAGGAGAAAAGTTACAGTATGGAGGAGCTACAGGGCATGTTTTGGGAGATGGCACAAGGATTTGAGACTACAAATTGGTCTCAACAACAAGATTTCGAGTCCTCGCAATGGTTTTGCAGTCCTTTGGCTTATAATCACTCTAGAACTTCAGGGACAGCTCAGTTGGATACAAATTTTACAGACAGAAATCCATTCTTGGATTTCTCAAACATGGAGATGCATGGAGCTAATCCTTTCTGTAGATAAAGCGATTTCAAGATAATTTTCAGCAACGACAAATGCACGCGAAGATTTTTGCTCTCAATGATTTTGCATCTTAAGATGTTGTTAGAATCACTTGAGTGTAGCAATGTGCAAAGGAGATCGGAGAATTTTGGCTTTGAATGAATCATATGTAGTTAGCCGCGATCATATCAGCACTAACACACATGATCCTATTGTGAGAATAGCGTGTAACTGAAATTTCAGGCTAAAGCATAAGGCTAAGGGCGACAGTAGAAATGTGACTTTGTATTCTTGCAGGCAAGAAACCAGAATTGGGCATAGTTTGTAGATACTTGATGTTTTTGAGATGTACTATTTGTAGTGTTAATGAGTCGAGGGTCTCCTGGAAACAGCCTCTCTGCCTTTCGGGGTAGTGGTAAGGTCTGCGTACATATTACCCTCTCCAGACCCCACTGGTGGGATTATACTGGGATGATGTTGTTGTTGTTGTTGTTGTTGTTGTTGTTGTTGTTGTTGTTTTGTAGTGTTAATTTGGATGAGATTTTGAAAAAACTTGTGCATGCCATAATCTTGATTTTGTTTAGTGTTAATTCTCTGTGTCTCTATCTTAAGTTCATAATGACTGTTCTTCGTGTGATGGGCCTGTTATTATGCTGTGAACAGAGCAGGCCCAGTAGTCTTTTTCTGTTCCAAGGCCCATTCTAATAGCCCAATTTTCAGCAGGCTGCCACCTAATTTAGCCCAAATTGTAGAGGAAAGTGTACAAACAGCCATTCTTCGGGTTATATTTTGTGGATGAGGAAAATTTGTATCTTGAAAAATTAAAATTCATGATATCTTTTAACTCATTTTGAAATAATAACAATCTTTTAAAATGGCTATCTGCTGTCAATTCATCTCACTTTTTTCTTAGTGGGGTCTAGAGTATTCTGGTTGACTATATCGTTTTCAAAGTTGTATACAAAAACAACACGTTTCCTCCTCCATAACATAATTCAGAAGAGATAAACAAAAGGTAAATTAAAATAAATGCCCTATATTATTGGTAAACTTTTGAGTTTTTTCTTCTTTTCTTTTTTCTTTTCCTTGTTTACCTTAAGTTGTCCGAATACTTTCTAGCTAACATATATAAAAGCAACCTTTACTCCC